GGTACCTAAGACGGGAGGAATAAGAGATCTTCTAATGGAAAAGCACACAAGACCATGTACTCGATTCATCCCTGTAGCACTAAAATGTATAGGGACCTAAAACCCTACTACTGGTGGCCGACGATGAAGCTCGATGTTGCGAAGTATGTGGCTGAGTGCGTAACATGTACGAGGGTTAAGGCACAACATCAGAACCGTATGGGAGTTTAGAACCTTTACCTGTACCCATGGGTAAATGGGAAAGACATCACCATGGATTTTGTGACTAAACTGCTAGAACGAAGAACGGACATGACATGATTTGGGTAGTCGTGGATCGTTTCAACCAAGAGTGCACACTTCATAGCAGCCAACGAGAAGTGGTCTATGGATAAGCTCGCAAATGCTTACGTGAAGGAAATTGTAAGACTTCACGGTTCCCTCTTACGATTGTGTCAGATCGTGATAGTCGTTTCACGTCAAGGTTTTGGAGGAGTCTACAAGAGGATTTGGGTACAAAGTTGTGTTTGAGTACTGCTTACCATCCGCAAACTGATGGTCAGAGCGAAAGAACGATTCAGACGTTGGAAGATATGCTGAGAGCATGTACCCTTGAATTCCAAGGGAATTGGGACGACCACTTACCTCTAGTAGAATTTTCCTACAACAATAGTTTTCACTCGAGCATCAAGATGGCACCTTATCAGGCCTTGTATGGACAGAAGTGTCGTACGCCGTCTTGTTGGCTTGAAGCCGGAGAGAAGCAGTTTATGGGCCCCGAGATAGTCCATGAGACTGCTGAGAAATTGAAGGTGATTAGGGAAAGAATGTTAGCAGCTCAGGATCGTCAGAAGAGCTATGCCGACAAGAAAAGACGACCGATAACCTTCGAAGTTGGGGATTCCGTTTTACTTAAAGTCTCACCGTGGAAGGGACTTATACGATTTGGGAAACGAGGAAAGTTGAGTCCAAGGTTTATTGGACCGTTCAAAGTTCTTCAGAGGATTGGGAACCAAGCTTACAAGCTGGAATTGCCCGAAGAACTCAATGGTATTCATAACACCTTCCATGTGTGTTATTTGAGGAAATTCATGGGAGATGTTCCCGACATAATTCCAATCTCAGAGTTAAGGATGGATGAGAATAAAAGGCTGATCGAAGAGCCCGAGGCAATTGTTGACCGTAAGACTAAGAAGTTACGACGCAAGATGGTCGACTTAGTGCTAGTCCAATGGAAACATTCGAATGGGCCGAATCTCACTTGGGAAACAGAGGATGACATGATGAGTCGTTATCCACATCTGTTTGCTGATGCATGATTCCGGGACGGAATCATCCTAAGGGGGAGAGAATTGTAACGCCCGGGTTTTCAGGGCTAAGCATTTTTGTCAATGTAATAGTCTAGGTCAACTATTGTAACTCTTTTTGAAGTAATAAATATGAAATATTTGAGTATTATGTGAATTATGTGTGATTGTGTGTTTATTGTTTAATTATAAATGTATAATTAATAAAGAATAAAAATGAGCGTCAAAATTAAAGTGTGAGATAATCCCGATCTCTCTACATAAAGTTGTAGAATATGTCTCAAGGTTTCGTACATATAAAGAACGCCGAAATCCGAGCTATAACGAAGAAGTTATGACCCGCCGAAGTTTTACGGCAAAACCGACACGGCACCGGAAGACATAAAATAGTGAATTTACGATAGAAGACTTTTTAGCCTTAGAAATATAAACAAAAGTCGTAGAATATGTTAAACTAAGAACATCGATAAAAAGAACGCCCAAATCTGACTCCGTATGAAGAAGTTACGATTTTTCGAAGTTTCGGACTAGCAGTGTACTGCCCGAAATTCAAATGTTTGATCGAGCGGTTTTTAGCCGACACGACCTAAACGAGAATCGAAGATCTCGTTAAGAGTAACGTAACGAGAAAAAGATGGGCGAAAACGGATGTCGGATGAAGAAGTTATGAGGATTTAACAGACCAATCCTATCCCGACCCGTTGATAAAATAAAATTTAAAATCGAGTCAAAATTAGCCAACGAAGTCTAAACGAAAGTTGTAGAGTATGTTCCCACCTTCACGTGGATATAAAGAACGTCAAAAACGGAGCTCGTATGCGAAAGTTACGAATTTTTGAAGTTAGGACTCGAAAATGCGAAACCTGTTGCGAAGATGATGACGTGGCCGCTTCTGAGCCGTTGCTTGCTGACCAAGGCTTCGCTCCGGATCGCGCCACGATGACTCGCATTACGCCCCGCGTATGAGGTCCGGTACGCCCCGCGTACCTTCGGCCTTATCCGTCCGAGTCCGAGTGCGAGCCAGCTGTTGCGAGCTGGCAGCCACCTCCGAGCTACGCCCCGCGTAGCGCTGCTGGACGCGCGCGTATCCGAGGCCCTCGCGCCTATAAAAGGGGGCCGAAGGTGCCCTCATTTTCACACCATTTCTCATTCTCTCTCTAGTTTCTTTCTCTCTCTAAGGTTCCAAACCACCCCTAAGCCCTAGTTAAACCCCTAGCACCCTAAGGAAGCCCCGAGGCTCCCGGAGTCCCGAGAAAAAGGAGTTTTTCGGTTTCGAAACGCTGCTCCAATTAAGTCCCGGTTTTCGATAAAATTCGCTGTAAGTATGCTACGCTTATGCAATTTTTAATATAGCTTTCAAATAATTATAGGAATGTTATTAGGTCCTTAAAATAATTATTTGGGCTATTATTATGAGATATATCGAGTATTATTAATGCTTAATAATACTCAGACAATTAATTTGTCACGGTTATCATTAGACTAAACCCTAGTGGTATCGATACTAGGTTTTATCGAAGGAATATCATTTTGAGAGTATCGAAGCGCTGTCCGAGTGCTGAGTCACCACCTAATCAGGTGAGTGCATAGTTACCTTCAACTTACACATAGATATGAAGTATTTTATATAAATTACGTGCTATGTGTGCATATTATCTGAATACTTGCTATCTATGCTAGATGAACGTTGTTATACATGTTTTCAATGATTTAAACTGTATATGTATTTTATATCTACGAAAATGTTGGGGTAAAACATGGGTAGATGTAATAGGTGATGTGTGATAAAATGATGAGAGGCCTCGATGTTGTTGTTGTTGATCCAGTCATCTAGCGGAGTATAGATGACGACCACGGACTCTTCTAGACAGTCCAGTGGAACACTAGCAGGCTCGCAACCTGTAGGTGTTGTGAACGATGTGTTCACCGGTGTACTCCATCCCCCACATGGTTGCCTATTAGGACATTTATTGCTGAGGAATCCCCTTAGCAGTAGTGTCCGTCCCGATGATGATCCTTAGGCTAGGTCCCTTATGATAGGTGTTTAGGGACGTAAAGTGAGGATAACGGGAACGGGTAATCGGGTTATTGTTGATTGATGAAATTAATAAACTTATTTATTGTGGGTTGAAAACCCTATGTGCTCACCAGGCTCCCAAGCCTGACCCCCTCAGTTTTATGTATTACAGGTAGTGGCGCATGAGCATAGGTGTGATGTTTTGGACGAGGGATTACGGATATATGCTTGTAGATATGAAATAATGTAGTAAGGCTTATATTGTATTGTTTATACTTTTGATCTGTACGAACATGACATCCCGAGTCTTTTAATGAAATACATTTCTATGGAAATGCTTTTGATAAATCTTTATCATATTATTGTTTTGGGACAAATTCCGCAATCTTTTTATTAAAGATAACTCTGATTTTGAAAGAAAGTATAAACAAAACCGGTCTTTTCTGGCCGTGATTTTGGGGATGTCACAAAATGTGTGAATCAACATTGTATGCTTATTTGCATCACATGTGCAATTTTTTAACTATTTTTTTTTAATTGAACAAAAACGTAACTTTTTTTATTAACCGATGAAAATCGATAATGGCAGTAAAAAAGGTGAAAAAATTTTGAAAAATGATTTTTATTTTAAGCGTAAAAATGTGAATTTTTTATTAGCAGATGAAAATCGTGGGTGGAGATGTAGAGTATTTGGCATGATATTTTGAGGATACGTTGAATGTGGTAGGAGGGATCACTATCGGGGGCTCTTATTCAAGGCACCACGAAATAGTCTACATCCGCCCGTACTAGATCTTTACTAATATATAAAATACTGATACAAAAGTAATTTGAGAGAGAGAGGGGGCGGGACCACGCCTACTTTGTATACAGAGAAACAGAAAATCGTCGACCAATCTCCGACCACCGATACAACCACCGCCGATCCGTGCAAATAAATCATATATGGAAGGTGTTGGAGCTCGACTCGGCAGATCCTCAACTCACTACGGACCGGCCACCGTGTTTACAGGTCCAGTTAGGAAGTGGAAGAAGAAGTGGATCCACGTAACGCCTCCCACCACCGCAGCGTCAAACAATCATCATCATCATCAACATAAATCTAACGGTAACTCTTCTTCTAATAGGCAACAATAATAATGGCTCTGCCTCTCATCTTTTGCTTTACAAATGGACGCCACTTCGTCAAAATCATAACACCTCCGCCAACAACAATAGCAATGGTGACGCCAAAGACGACGGTGGTGTCGCCGAAGTGGACGAAGAGCCACCCCGCCGTAAGATGAAATATATTACGGTACATTTCCAACACTCCTCTTCTGGATTTTTGTTTTATTTAATTTAACTTTGTTCGATCTAAACTTTAGCTTGTGTTTGTCCTTATCTGTATGTTTATGTAATATATTATATTTGAAGATCACGTGGAATTTCAAGTTGAAATAGGATACATATAAAACAAATGCTAGAGTATAAATTCGTATAAGAAATTGAATCCAATTTGTAGCCCTAGCTACCTTAAGTAACTTATAATCCAAATTGAGTCCAAATTGTACATTAAAAGAATCAATTTCCAATACTTTTTCTAAAAGTTGAATCTAATAACAGTCACAGGCTTCAATTTGAATATTTATCCATGGCTGCTAAAGTATGTTGTTTTATGGATTTGTTGTTGATGGTTGAAATTGATCAGATAGTTGTACTGGGGGAACAAAATAATGAGGAAGCAGAGGTGCAGGCAGATGAAGATAAACCTAAACCTGTTGAGAGTGACTCGCTTGCTGCAGCAGATGATGAATCATCTTTGAAGAATGAAAAACTTGACATCAATGATATACCAATGGAAGAGAATCAGGTAATGCCCTGAACTCAACATATTGCATTTTTTGCAATTTAGGGAAATGAAAATGTATTCTCAGTTCTTTGATATTGTTTCAGGTTTCTGAGAATATTGATGTAGAAAGGGAAGTCTTGAACAAAAGCAATGTAGGTTTAAGCTTGAATTTAAATGAAGGTGAAGGTGAAGGTGAAGGTAAATGGAGATAGAGATACAGATGGAGGTGAAGAAGAGTTTGAAGAAGCAAAGGATGAAACTAATGATGATTGATTGATTGGATTGAGTAAAGTAAGTAAAATAGGTACACATGATGGATGAATTGTTTTTTTAAATGATTATATTAACTCAAAGAAAAGAAATGATTGTGAAAATTTCTGGAAATGAAATTTTATCAAAAGTGCATCAACTTTAACTTTTGCGGTACTAAATATGTAAATTGTAGGATGTGTTTTAACCGAATCCAAGTGTTTCTGGACTCGACTTGAAGATTTTATGGAGGAATCCCTTTTTTTAATAATAAAAATGAAATTAACTTGTGATCAAAATACAAGGAATATTGAAGATTTTATGTATGTGAGGATTTTGATCCCGGGATTTTATGTATGTGAGGATTTTGATCCCGGGATTTTATGTATGTGAGGATTTTGATCCCACATCAAAAGTTGATTGAAAGAAATGAAAGATGTGATGTATTTAAAATGGAAAAGGAACATAGAATTGATCATAAACTGCTACCAAAAAATGACATAGTAATAAGTTTATAAATATTAAAAAGAGAAAATTCATTAAATAAACAAAAGTTGGAGGTGTTTTCAGCAAATAACCATGAAATTTCGAGTTTCATAAAATGACCATCAGATCCGCAGAGGGGACTCTGTGGATTACTTTATGTCTCTGAGTAACTTAGCACACCTTTGCGGAAATGACGTGGTATCATTAAAAGATAATTTTTTTGGGGGGTTTTTAAGGTTCCATAGAGGTGTGTATGCGGATCTTGTGAACACCTCTGCGGATCGTTTAGGTGCGTTTGGTTGTGAAATTTTTTTCAGTTTTCTAGGAAAATTTTCCAAGAAAAACGGAAATTCTGAAAACACGTTTTTTTTTCATCCAGTTTTCCAAAGTTTTCTAAGAAAATGAAAATTTTCGGTTTTCCAAATTGTATGTAAACTAGAAAAGTGATTTTTATAGTTTTCCAAATTTCTAAGATGAAAAATGAAAACTCCACCGGTTCCAACCAAACACATTTTCATTGAAAACTACAAATAAAACTCAATTCTATTTTCTAAAAACATTTTCTTAGAAAATGAAAACAGTTTTCCACAACCAAACGCACCCTTAACGTCTTTGAGGAATAGGTATGAACAATTTTTTAAGAGATTTTTTTTGGGATTTTTAAGTATTTAACCATTCCTCAGAGACATTAAGTGATCCGCAGAGGCATCTTTGTTGAACCATTCGAACCCCAATTTTTTTTTGTCTTTTAGTGGTGTCATGCAATTTCCGCAGAGGTGTGCTAAGTTCCTCAGAGACATTAAGGGGGTGTTTTTTTTTCAAAAACCTCTTCTTGACCTCTTATGTCTACGTCGCGCAAACATATGCTCTTGTAGACCGTTTGTTTTTTAGAAGAGCGCATGCCTAAAAATATCTACGCATCCTCTTCGTGGTGTAGACATGAACATGTGTTTTCTAACATCTTCTCACCCACTTAAAGAAAAACACATTATGCAACCCACAATTTCCTTTATTCGTTCCTTAATAAATAAAACAACAGATTTGAGGGCTTTATATTAAGACGCTCCCATTTTTTTTTTTGTGTCGCAGCCATTTTTTTTTCTTTTTCTGTTGCTACTTTTCTTCATATCAAGATTCACTTTTTATTTTATTTTATTATTTTTTCTTTGTCATGCATTATCAACATTTCTAATTTTTCATACCTAATATTTTAATTATCCTTTATTTCTCTATTATAAATAATAATCAAGCTCTAATATATTATATGGTGTTCGATACGATCATGTATTCAAGTTAACTTTTAACCATTTGTTATATAAAAAAAAGTCATTTGTTTGTTTTTAAAATTAAGATAAAATAGTTATTTTATCGTTTAAACAAATATAATTCCATTCGTTTTAGTATTGTGTTAATTCCATTCATTTTGTAAGACAAGAATTATTATGTGGTTGTATGAATTTTATTTTAGTATTGTAGGATTAGACTTATTTAAATTTTGGTGTTGAAAAATTATTTCAGTAAGCTACAGATGTTAAAAAAACAAACGATCGTCTTCTTGCAGACTGCAGTCGTTTGATCCACCTCTTCTACCACAGAGGGTTGAAGATGTGGTCCGCAGACTGCAAATCTTTTGGCTTCGAAAAAACAAACAACACCTAAGTAATCCGCAGAGCCCCCTCTGCGAATCTGATGATTATTTTACGAAACTCGGAATTTCATGGTTATTTACTGAAAACACCACCTAACTTTTGGTTATCGTTCATAAGTTATAATTAAATTTCACACATTAGTTATAACAAACACTATCTAATCTATTACAACATAACAACTGACGATATGTTGCAGCAACATGTACCAACTAAAGTCTAAAGTCCAATATGCCCATTATTGTTGTAGTTTGCGTATAATTGACCATGTGGATACGTGACAATAGACAGGAATTGGAACGTGAAAATGTACATAGGGACTACTAGCCATGTAAATGTATAGAGGAAAACGTTTATTTTATTTTATTTTATATTTTTTATTTATTTATATTTTTTTGGAGATGCTTCCGGATTCTTTTCTTGAGTTTCATTTTCGTTCTTCATTTGGTTTTTAGGATTTTTAGGGTGTGACAGGTTTCTTGGTGGCTAAAGGGAGAAAAAAAAGTTTCTATTGTTTTTACTTTACCTTTTAGTATTTTACGGTTTAAAAAATGAAATGAAATTGAAGGTAAATGGGTATGAACCTATTGAGTAAAGACTGAATTTATATTTTGATGGAATTGTACGATCCTATTTCACGATCCTAAATGTGGTCTTATGCTAACTTCAATCGCATTACAATATAGATCGTTTTTCACACAGGTAGGGTCGTAGGATCTTATGTCTGGATTGAAATCTTAACAACTTTGAATCTAGTGATTTCCAAGCGGACAACCAAATAAATCGGTTGTATATTTAAGTGGCAGGAACGTGGATGTTAGTAGTCCTGATACCCTTCAAAAAAATTTAAAAACTATAAAAACTTTTGAATTTTTATATATAAGTAGAACCCCAAAATAATGGGCATTTCTTTAGTACAAACTAACAAGAGCGGAGATAGTACATGGGCGTACGGGTGTTCAGCCATCCCTAACTTGTCTAAAATAGTCCATATAATATGAAACATTTAAAAACCATTTCAATTTGAAAAAGAAAAGGAAACTAGTAATTTTTGAAGAAGAGGCCATGAAAATAGGAAATTAATTCATATTATTTAGAGAATCTATCGAAGAAAATCAAATTCAATCTAATAAAAAACCTTAAATCTATCACAAAAAGTCGAAATCCTAGCCAAAAAGTTCTCAAAATATTTAAAGAAATTCAATCATAAGAGAGTTTACAACTTCATAGATCAATTTAAAAAATCATAACCTAGAAAAAATTGCCACAAATCGCGCTTCCATGATTCACGTCTATGGTCTCACCGTCTGAGACTCACCCTCTTGGAATCTCCTTCACGCCTCAGCCTCTCGAAGACCCATGTGTTCTTTGATCTGATCCCTAAATCTTTCAGATGACGTTCTCTCCTTCTCTAGTTGGTCGCCATTCCCCGTTACCACTCGTTATTGTTGGTTGTCGCCTCTGATGTGCAACTTATTCTTATTCTCTCAAAAGCTCACTGTGAGTTTCTCTCAAACTCTCCAATATCTATAAGATTAATAGTGTCGTGTGCTGCTAACTTATTAGATTGTCTTCTTATAAATTTACTTTTTTATTTGTTTTTTTTTTAATTCTCCACCTAGCTAGATATAACATTCACGTGTTGCCTCAAGACTCTCTGAATGAAAAATTAAATATCTTCCTACTTTTCTTCCTATATATCTTCCTACCCATTTAAAATAATGATAAATGTATTAAAATATCATTAATCTTATCCAAATATAACACATGTCATCATTTTACATGGATAGGAAGATAAGTAGGAAGAAAATGTAGGAGAATATTAATTTCTCTTTCTGAATTAATGTGCTTTATTAACATGGAATTGTCATTTCCTAATAATTGTAATTCTTTTTACTTATTTATTTAACCTAAAAGCTTTTTTAGTTTACAAACATTTGTTAGCCATTTTTGGATAGTTACCCATCTATTTATAAATGTTTGTTTAGTTTATTTGCGTGTTAATTGTTTAGCTTTTTGTTACCTTATGCAAAATTTCTAATGATAATTTAGTTAATCATTTTGATAAAATTGAAGATTTGTAAATAATAGTATAAAACATGAATCAACTTGAAAAATTACAGGATCTTTCCAAACATAAAATCAAGAAAGCTAATTGTATCCCCTTCAATCAAAAATCATGATTCTGTACAAACTAAATACCCGACTTTATAAAAAAAATATAAAAAATAAAAAAATAAACTAAAATAAAAAACACATAGATAGACAAGCAAAACCGGTACAAATTTAAAAATAAAAAAAATAAAAAAAATAAAAAAAAAAAAAAAAAAAAAATTAAAAGGTTTAATCACCTAGTTAGCCGAAGAAAAACAAGCCCAATGTCCAAACAAGAGGTTTAATTGGCCATGGGGGATACCGGCTAAGTAAGCTTTCGCTTGCTTCTCTCGCTTCCATCGTCTCGTTATACTTTCGCCACCGAAGACCTTCCTCCCATCGTCATCTCTGCCGCCGTCGCCACCCTCCCCAGCGCCATCTCCTGCCGCCGCAATCCTCACCGTCGCCGACTCCAGCAACATCATAAGGTTCGTTCGCTTTTCTTCTCTTTTCTCCTCTTTTCTTCTCGGTTTTTTTTTCCTGATGTTGCTTCAGAATCACATTCTTCAAATGTAGAAGATGCTTCCATATTTCTCCTCTTTTGTATCATTTCTTTTTCCTGTTGTTCTTCAAAATCATACTTCTTCAAGTTTTGAAGATGCTGTCGTTTTTTTTTTTTTTTTTTTGATATTTCTAATCTGAAAATTCTTCATTGATTTCTAAAATTATGTTGATTTCTGAAATATATGGGTTGATTTCTTGTTAATTTCTAAAATATGTTGTGATGTTAATTATAATTTGACTGTTTTCTGAAAATAAGTTGCTGATTTTGTTGATTCATAACTGAAATCTATTGGTGAAACTTGTTGATAATGTGTTTATTGATTTGTGCTGAAATATGTTGCTGATTTATGATCATTTGTGCTGTTATTTGCTGATTTGTGAATAGAATTAGAAATCATCATGGATTCACAAACCCAAAATGCATCACTACAACGTCTCCAAACTGTGGAAAAGGTAATATGTAAATAATAATATATTGATTGATTAAAATGAAAATTGAAAAGTAGTTTAACAAAAGAATTGATTTTGTTTTCAGAGGATTGTTAGAGTATTGGAACTTGCTGGTGGAGTGATGGAAGAATTCTCAAATCCTAGTGGACCAAGGAAGGAATTGGTC